GTTTCTCCTTTCCTTTATCCCTGATTACATCCACCACTGACACTTGGATGGTGACATTAGGCTATTTTCTTATTCTATAATTAGTGGAAAGACTGTGTACAGCACGGAATCAGGTCAACTTGAGTCTAAATCTCAGCTCTACAAGCTCCTCCTAAATACGTGACCTTGGACAAGATAGGTCTCCTTCTGAGCTGCAGGTAATGATGATTAGCCCTAAAGTGTTTGTCAAGATCAAGTGAAGTAGTTTACAGGACAGATAAATATTAGACATTTCAGCTATTGTGAGTCCCCATTGCCTTGACTGTTGCATGTCAATGAATAGAAACTGAAAGTCAGATGGTGTCCTCAGTTCAGCAATAGTGACATACTGCTAAAGGTCTGCTTCTGCTGCTGCTGCGGTTTCTGCTTCTGATGATGATCCTTTGTTGGAAGTTCACAGCTCTTACACAGTTCCCAAATCTCAAACCACTAGAGGCGATTTCTCTTGTCTTGCCTCCATTCTGAGTGCTACAATTTCCACTTTCACTATAGCATGCCCAGAACAGGGAGAATTCTCTCTTCCCCTAGTTGGTTGTAGTCAGATTGCAGAACTCTATAAAACAGATTGTGGAAAAGGTTTCAGGGAACAAATCTCTAGAGAAATCGAGGGAAGTGTAGAGGACAAATGCAGAACATGAGAGCAGAGGGAAAGGATAAGGCTTAGAGTAATTCATGCAAGAAGTAATGAACCCCAGGGTGAGGCTTCTTGGGTTAGTGGGGAAGTGGGAGAAAAGATACCTGCGGGCTTCAGATTTCTACCTTCATAGAAGAGGTTAAATACAAAAATATAATATAATCCAGAACCAAGAAGGTGATAGATTTCACCTTCAAAGGAATTTTTGACTATTCTTAGAATAATCAAAATAAATGGAAACTCGTTTTTGAAGATAGAATAATTTGTTAGCTTAAACTTTATAAATTTCATTAGACTTGAGGGATCTTTATGTTGTACCAACCAAGGACTGGGAAGACCATGCCCAAGCCTCTCTCTTCTTCACTATGAGGGAGGCAGCAGGTATACATAGGATCTGAGACCAGGAGGAAAATCAGGAGCACCTGTCCTATGATACACACCAGCTGAGGATCATTTTCTAACACCAACCTGATTCTTGCTTCTCTGCCCCTATAGCAATGACTGAGCCACACCCGCTGAAAAGCACTCCTATGTCAAGAGGTAGGGATTGGAGAAAGATGAGAAAGAGTGGGACATAATGACAAGAAAGGTAGCCCCTTGCTGTCATGTCGAGTATGACACAGTATGGCATGCATGCCAGTTGCTAGAAGTTGATCAGAGAAAGATGCTTTAAGTTGGCCTTTAAGAGGGAAATAGAAGGTGAATGGCACTGTGTAAGCTGAAACAATGAAGCAGAAAATCCAAGAAGTGCTGGGCGTTGGTGAGCAACCCCTGACTGAAACTCATTCCTCTGGAGTCCAGCTGGGCCTCCCTTGTCGGGCCCATCACTTCCCTGGGTCAGTGAAATCTGCAAGTCTGGGATCCCCACAACTCAGTGTTCATTTAAAAGGAGATTTGTAAAGTGGGAAGTAACTCCAGAGACCACTGGATCATTTTCTATGTTTTAATGGGAAAAGTATATAAATGCATTTTTATAGATACCATTCCCTTAAATACTTCAAACTCAACCGGGATGTGTGAAAATAAATTCATCAATGCTGGCAGCCAGTGCTCTTTTCACTTTACATTGTGTTATAGGAATGTGCTTTTGATTAGCTTATTTGGAGGAAGTGTGTCTGTGCCCTTCTCCATATTGCAAGAGGCCCCAAGGACTTCAAAACTCCTATTTTGACATCCAAGTGTTTCTGTCTTTCAATTCTCTACAACAATAGTGATGTGCTTTTCTGATAACCATTGGTCACTTTCTCCAGATTTCCGCAAAGAATGCCCAGTTTCTTATCTCCCAGCAGTATAGCTTCCTCCTGTTACCATAAACAAGACAGTTCTGCTTTCCCCTGCCTCCCAACACTGCTGCTCTTATAGTATTTGTAGTTGTCTACAACCCAAGGGTGCCAAAGATTGGGGGAAATTAATTTAGTTCCCCACACCATGTCCAGTGCATCACAGTTGTGAAGACCCTGCATCTTTTCTCTCACACCCAAGACCACTGTTTCCCTTTCAAGTGAACAAATTATTCCCTTCTCACCAGAATTGCCTGGAATTTGGTAGTCCTTCTCAGTGGGCCATAGAGCATGCAACCTCTCTTGGTCTGTTTGTTGCCATTTATTCCTAAGTCTCTGTCTGGAACTCCCCATGAGCATTAAGGATTCTGTTTCCATAAGCATTTTATCTTAGGTCTTTACATAAATAAATCTATTATATATAGGCCATAAAGACAGATAGCAAATAGGAATAGGCATGCAAATACAACTTCTGTCCTCAATTATAGGAACTCCTAGGGCAAAAACAATTTATAAAAGAGCCTTTCCTTTTTCGCTTCAATTTTCAGTCCCCAATTTTTTTAATATTCTTAGTAAGCACATAGTGAAATCTTATTATCACGGTTTGAAGCTGCATGTGTCTGGGATGTCTCTAGAAAGCATTGAGTTCCCATGGAGAATGCTCAACTACTAAACACTCATTTAGTATTTATTAAACAACTACTATGTGTAAGATTCTGTGTAGGCATTAGAACACAGCAGTGAGCAATCTAAACAAATATCTCTGTCCTCTTGGAGCTCATATTCTAATCTGAAGGGTAAACAATCAATCAATCAATATATAAAGTACATTAGTGGTGATAACTAAGAAGGAAAGGGCCTTGGTGACAGGGTAGGTTGGGGAAAGCCCAGCTTGGCTTCCTGGGGGAAGTCAGTTAAGAGCTGGGATTTGCAGAGAGAGTGTGGCCAAGACTGAGGGAGAGGAAGAAGGAAGGGGACAAGAAAATTGGAGACTTAAAGGAATTGGAGAAGAAATTCACCTGTATGACTGTAAGGCAGTTTCAGACATCTTAGAGGAATATAAAATAGATTCATATCACAGAGGATGCTGAAGCCTTCTATCTATCATCTCAATTAGCGAGATGCCAGCACCACACTAGGCATTATGGGGATTTTGCTTTAACATGAGACATCCAGAAGTTTATAGTAGTAGAGACAGCAAATCTTAAAGCCATAATATCCTCACTGATAGACCGAGACCAGAGAAAAGGATTGAATTTTCCAAGGTTTTGCCATTAGCAAGGGGCAGAGTGTGAAAGTCAGCTACCCTGCCCTCCCTCTCTTCCTCTCCTTCTTTCCATTTTTTCCTTCCTGTCCTCCAGCCTTCCTTTTAAGTTCTTCTAAGCACCAAAAATGTTCTTCTCATGCACTGAAATGTCCCTATGATCACGTGACGTCCACTTCTTGCAGGGATTAAGGACAATAGGCAAGTCAGTCTTTGATATTTTCTTCTCTGGGCTGGCTGGAGCCAACCTATTAAATATTTTGGAGGTCAGGACTAGGAAAATGCACCGTGATCAAGGTTTTTCAGACTCTCTTGTTAAGTTCTTTCTGTTGGCAGCTTCATCCTTTCTTTATCGCCCAAGGACAGCAAGTCCTGTCTGCTACCCACCAGGTGGCTTCCCTCTGACACAAGCTTAATTCAATGATTTAATTTTCCCTAAAAGGCACAAAGGACCAGTTGCCCAGAGTAAACACAAAGCCTCATGGTGCTAACTGCTGTCTCCCCTGGGGGGAAAAATGCCTTGGACTGGACCTGACACAAAAGAATCTGGATCAGACAGCCGTCATTCTGCATTATTTTTCTCTGGATATATTTTGTCTGCAGCAAGCAGAGGCATCTAAAACAATTTTATTGCCCCAGGAATACATTTTATGTTCAGGATGTTCTCTTCAAAAATAGCTATTTTAGTTCCTAAATCATTGACTGTCTCACTAATGATTTTGTTTTTAAGTCTTGAAAGAACAGAAGTCTCTGGAAACTGTCACTCTTATTTTTTTTTTCTTTTTCTTTTTCCTGACTCCAACAATTAAAAGTGTAGCTCTGAAGATAAAATAGTTCATGGCAGCTCAAGGAAATGGAGGCAAGACAGAGAGCCCTGGTCCCACAACTACTTCCTCGCTGAGGAGGGACACTAGTGGGGCTGGCCTGGAAGAGACAGAGGACAGAGCAGCCTCTCTCAGCCTATCTGGACAATTGAATGATTCTGCCTGTTTTTCTTCCTCTTTGAATCTGTGCCTAGAGCCATCATTATGTATTTTTTAGAAGAATACAGAGGTGTTGATTAGGTAATGTTAAATGAAATCAATGCATTTGAATCAATTATTGCACTGATAAACTGGGTAAGTAACCCACAGTTATGCAGAAACACAAGTTGACAAATCAGAAAGTAATTATCTCAAAGGTGTAATCTGCTAATTGCTTTAAAGCAGAATCTCCTTGTTTCTATCATAGCTTTGATTTTCCTGAGAAAAATCCTAAGTGGACCCCTAATGTATCAAAAGGAAGCAAAACAGATCAAGAGAAACCAACAAAAAAAATCCAGAATTACTGTAGGTGGGGTGACATCCTCCGGGCTGTTGGGACCTTAGAAAAGCTGTTTGACTTCTGAAAACCGAAATTTTTTTATATATCTGGATGAGGATAGAATTAAGAGAATTTCATGAATTGTAAATGTAAAGATATTTTGGTGTCTGGGAGATTCTGGGAGACAAAATCCTTGAGGATTAAAGAAGACTGTTCTTTAATATCCATTTCAGTTACCATAAAAATACAAATACTTGAAGTCAGAAGAGCCTTCTCAATGTCCCTTAAATCCTGTGATGTTTGGAGCTTTTGGACTTACTGATTTCAAAGGCTTGCTCTGGTGTTTACATGTGACAGAGAATTTCTTTTTTGCATGGGGTAGAAGATGAGCAAGGCATCTCCTCCCTCCCCCTGCATGGGCAGAGATCAAGCTCCTCCCTGTGGAGATGGGAAGGAGTGGTTTCTGGACAGATGAGAAACATCGCTATTTCTACCCTCAGGAAAGCAATACCGTGCTGAGAGGCCCTGAAGTGTGAGCCTGGGCCATGGAGGCCTCTGTCCTGAGCCCCACGTCCTGGGAGAAACGGCGGGCCTGGCTCCGTCAGAGCCGAAACTGGCAGACCCAGGTCCTGGAAGAGGAAGCAGCAGCCGCCCTGCAGGATGTCCCAGATCCTGAGCCTTCCAGCCTGGATGATGTTTTCCAGGAAGGTAAGAGGCAGTTAGACATCACACAGACTCCCACATAGTCTGGTGGTAGGGAGAAGGTGACACAGGTCCACAGACAGGAGACATGGCCCCTTTGTTTAGACTAGGACCTCAGAGAGGCTCCTTTGAACAGATCTAAATGAGTTTAAGGGAAAGGGCATAAAGAAATACAAGATATAAATTATGCAAGAAAGAGGCAGTTATAAGATTAGAAAGGGGCACATTCTGCATCATCCTGAGAAGCTTCTGTGGGAAGCAGAGGTTAGGGGTAGTCTGTGAATGAAGGCTTTGGGAGGTTTTGACTTTGTCTATGTAACAGACTATGCTCAAGCTGTGCGTGGACTCTTGACTGCAACTCTGTCACTAACAAGCTGTGTGACCTTTGAGTCACTTACCTGAGACGTGCTGGTCCAGTTGAAACAGTAGTTTCTTTCCTACATGCCTCTCAGAGCTTCTTGGAGGTTCAGATGAGACCACACAGAGGAAACAAAACTTCTGACTTAAATAAACCTATTCTTGCTTATTTGGTAGGAAATAAAAAGCATATCTTTTGAAAAAGAAGCCGTCCCTGTTCCCTGACCTCTTGGGCATTTCCCAGGTCCCAGGGGTGAAGGGATAACAGAACCAGAGAGAGAAAACATAATCACTACCTTCCTATAAGGGTATCCTCTCATATCATAAAGGAAAGTTTTATGGGGGAAAAATGAATTGTGATGTGGCTTAAATGAGGATAAACCTGTGGAATGGGTTGAGTTGCAGGGAAGAGGTCTGGTTCTCTTCAGGCCTCACAGTGATGTGATGTGTGACTTTTCTAGGGAATCCAATCCATAAGATTGAAGACTGGCTGCAGGACTGCGGGTAAGTGATGGACAAACCGTGGCCCGGGATATGGTTGGGGGTCAACTATGTTAATGGGCATGCTCCTCGGGAACTCGGAGAGGCCAAAGGGTTTGACCAGACTTGAGGTGATGAGGTTGACAGTGATTGACAGGGTGTTGAAAGGATTTGGCATCAGCTGCTAATCCAGGATGGGAAACAAATGCAACCCTGAAGTGAAGCTGAAGGCTTGTGAATTCAGGTGGATGTGAACTAAAAAATAGGCAGAAATGGGTATCTATGGGACATGGTGAGGCTGAGTTCCAGGCTCCCACTCCACTGCTTCCCCTTTCAGACTGGAGTCCCACACTGTGTGACAAAACAGGAGTTAGAAAGAGGATCAGTGCACTATTGTTCTGTCTCGGCTATAGATCAGGAGGAGGGCTCAGGGTAACTACTGTCATTCAAAGCAGTGAAGAGTTCAGGCCTTTCAAAGCAAAGTATGCCATCTCTTTGCTCAGAAATATTTGAATAGGAAACCCACACTCCTTCAGCCTCTACCGTCTTAGGTTCAATCTACCCAGACACAAAGTCGAAGCTAGTGACCTACTTAAGCCTGATCACTTTTGTGAGAAAGAATTCTCAGAATGTATTAGCTCCTGCACATCCTTATTCTCCCTCCAGGAAGGCAGGAATGTCTCAAGCTTTATATAGACTTTAATCTAAATTCATCTATTAATGACATCAATAACCCACTCTTTATTCAGTAGGAAACAAATAGCACCAAATAATCCAAGGTAGACTAAAAATAGCCACATGCTTCTTCTCACAATCTGATTCCATGCACAACTATTTGTTTATGAATTAGACCTACAGGAAGAACAGTACCTTGACTCCTCTAATTCACAGTTGAAACAATACTAAGGGACCTTTCAACACAAGAATGAGAAAAGGGGAGCAGCTATGGGTCTAGTCCCTAGTGATTGAGAACTCTGCCCTAGAAGGCAATGTAAGGAGGATTTATTTTGTGCTTGTTTTTATAGTTTATAAAATGTGTTGTCCTTGTTATCCTAATTTTACTCACAGTTCATTGACTTCAAAGCCAACTAGTCATCCTCAACATAATGGAAGATAAAGGATGATGATAATAGGAATGTTTTGCAGGTTACTGGGTTTTAAAGTGCTGTACAGGTGTGAACAGGAGAAATCCTTGGCTCAGTTAGTGTCTTTATCTCATTAACTACTCTTGAGTCTTATCAATTTATGTGTGTATTTGGTAAATGTCCAGTTGTCTGACAAGGTGCCACGTATTTTCAAATATGCTCCTTAATTTCAAATATACTACATTCTAGTTGAAATGAAAAAATTCACAGAAATACAAAATTGTAAGCTCAAGAAATAATATTTACCCATCTATGGTCTACAAAGATAAACTCTCATCTAAAACTTAAAAAATGATGATCTGGTGAGTGAAAAGCCCCCAAGAGTCGAACCCAATTCTTGTGCTACTACCTGTGTAGCAAAGAGTAAGCAAATAAGTGAAATTCCATGGTAGATTCCTTCCCTATAAAGTATAACACTTGAATAATGAAGTGTCAAATAATAAAGTGTGAGGTTTAAATGAGATGATATATCGGTACATGCTTTGTACTCTAGAATGGTGTACAAATGGTCTGATTTAAAAGGATCTTGGCACTTGTAATTTCACAAAATCTATCTATTGGCCTACTGATCTATCTATCCTTCTATCTACCTCTATGTATTAGGAAAAAATTATGACCAGAAATGATATACACCAACTATTGGAAAGTGGTTACCACTAGGAAGGGAAAGAGTAGATACAATGATAATCAATGAGACTTTAGTTAAATCTTTAATATTTTATTATTTTTATTTATTTAAGATTCTGTTATTGATTACTTAGCATTGTATTTCTTCCTGAAGCTAATATATGGCATATGGTTCAATTGTGAAAGCCAGGTGGTAGGCACAGGGGTACCTGTCATAGTTCTTTTCTATGTTTTGAAAAACTTTCAATATTTAAACTCAAAAAGGCCATAAATCTATTGATGGCATTCTCACATTTGTCTCTGGAAGGGGATTTGTTAGATTTAGAAAACATTTCCAATTTTCTTATTTTCTAATTCTCTTTAGTACATATGTAATAGAGTCATGCACCTCTTATTGACACTTTAGTCAGTGACAAACTTCATGTACAACAGTAGTCCCCTAAGATTCTATCACCAAGTGACATCATAGCTGATCTGGGTTGTGTAAGTACACTGTATGATGTCTGCACACTGATGATATCATCTAATGGCATATTTCTCAGAACATATTCTTGTTCTGAGAAATAGGAAATGCATGATTGCACTTTTTAGTTGTAATGGGGAAATTAAAGAAATTGAAGGATGATAATGATGAGAATGATTGATGATGGTGAGAGAACACTTGGCCTTTGGTAAGTGGATAGGAAGAAGACAGGAAAAACACACTCTAAGCATGGCATTCTGAGGTGCCGTGGTCTTCAATTCTTAGGCAGCCAGGGTCACAGATGCACCAGGTACGTACATTCACTATTTATCTGTCCACAAGGTTGCCCTGGAGGCACTTTGCAAATTTGATTCCAAGACCAAAAGTTTCCATTTTCTTTCCATTTTCAATACCAAATATCCTCTGATAGCAAGAAGGCTTTCTTTTCTCCAAGTTCTCTAAGAAAATCCACCACCTTCTTGGACAATTTAGTGTCAGTCTCTCAGTGCCACTGAAATCTAGTGGCACTCCTTTCTGCTACAGGATTAGAACATGCACATCTTTACAAATCATGGCTCTCCTGTTTTCTTTCTCCCCTTACACTGTTAAAGAATTTTCTGGGACATAAAAATCTTGCTCATGAATCATCAGGAGTAAGAGTTCAGAGCCCAGAAATCTTCATGAGGGCTTCGACTTAAATCTCTGCAGGCAGACATCTATATAAACTGCTAGAAGGGGCTCAAAATAGCCACACGCTTCTTCTTACAATCGGATTCCACACACAACTATTTGTTTATGAATTGTACCTACAGGAAGAACAGTACTTTGGCTCCTCTAATTCACAGTTGAAATGACGCTAAGGGACCTTTCAACACAAGAATGAGAAGAGGAGAGCAGCTATGGATCTAGTCCCCAGTCATTGATTTTCTCATCTACACAATGACTTATGAATGTGTGGGACCTGGGTGTAGGCATGAAGTTTCAAATCATCATGCTCAGTAAGAAGGCATCAATAGATGCAGCTCATGTTCATACTCTGTGGTAGAATCCCCCCACCACACACACAGGAAAGCCCACTGCCCCAAGCCTGGTCTTGAGCTGGTCCCCAAAAAGAGAATACAAATGCAACTAGAGAAGAGAACTGTAGGATGAGAACCCAATAAAGACTGTGCCTACTGAATAGCAAATTTTATTGAAGTGTACATATCATCAGTTTTTGTTTGTTTATGTTTTGTTTTGCTTTGCTTTTGGGCCTACTGAGGATTGAACTCAGGAGTGCTTTACTACTGAGCTACATCCCCAGTCCTGTTTTTTTTTTTTT